CACATAGCACACACATAAGTGAGCACAGCTGTATTCCAATAACACCATTTACAGATGCTGAAATTTGAATTTCATATAATTCTCATGTACATGAAATATTCTCGTGGTATTTTTTCCAACTATTTAAAAATGGAAGAATCATTCTTAGCTTGTATGCCATACAAAATTGGGCTGTGGTTTTCTGACCCCTGCTCTAACATCTGGGATGATACCTAAGTCAACTGTATAGAACCTTCCCCAGTCCTCCATAATGTCCGATATTCAAGGTGCGCTAGGACAAGTATTCTACAACTGGAATCAGGATGTGTCTGGGAAATCCAGCTCTTCTTGGACCAACACTAGTACCCTGAGTAAGTTAATGACTGTAAACATTTACTAACTGTGTAATCTTGGGCAAGTTATTTCACCACTGTGCCTCAACTGCCTCAGCTATATGATGAGGATCATGGCTGAAATGAACAGTAAATAAGTTATGAGTGCATGATTAAACAGTGCCTGGCAATTAGTTAAGTACAATATAGGTATTTGTTAAATTTTTTTTTAAAAGTAGCTCAGTTTCAGTATCCTCATTTTGGAATGCAGAGGATGGTGAGAAAGAAATAGCAAATAATGAGCAAACTATGTATTTTATCACAGCTCTGCAGCATGTATTATTAAACACATCTCACAACAGAAAGTATGGCTCAAAAGAGTAACTATAACTACTTCAAGATGACACTGTAAATGTTGGAACCAATCTGATTTCAAGTTTCTAGTATGCATGGGAGAAGGGGAAAAAATGGTTCAGAGGAGATAAGCAAGGGAAAGCGCCTTTCCTTCTTCCATATATTATCCTTTACAATCAGCTCCTGCTTCTAAAATGTGAATACAACTACCTCCACCACTACAAATAATAATAACACTTAACAATTACTGGGAAGTGACTATGAGCCAGACAAAATACTTAATGCCTTCACAGTATCAGCTTTTTTAAGCCTCATAACTCTACTTCATTTTACAGATGAGGAAATGGAGAAGGCCAGATGGCACGGACTAATTCAGGATCATCTATTTCCAAAGCCTGGGCCTCTCATGACCACTACACCTAACTTCTTTGAGGTAAGCCCAGATGAATTTCTCTAATTATGGGCACCAAAAAAAAAAAAAAAATGAGTTTTAACTGGAATTTGTTTTTTTTTTTTTTTTAAAAAAAGGATGATTTCAAAGATAAGGAGGGATGTAGCAAACACAAGAAATATGCCTAGAAAGGGGGCAGCTATGGTCAGCAGGAGGGGTATGAGGTAGAGAGGGTATATGAGGAGGCAGAATGGAGTTCTAGAAGGCAGAAAGGAAAGTCAGACTAAAACTAACATCAGCCTTAACTAAGCTTTCTTTTCTTTCACATATCCTGGGTGAATTCAGTAAACTGTTCTAGTTGAAAGGACTACTTCTGTAAGCAGGCAGTTCAGGACAATAGGTATAAACAAGACATAACAGACCATATCCAGTGGCTTCACAGCCCACCCTGCTATGGCTATGAGTAAAAACTTTACAGTAAGATGCACCATATCAGCTGATCCTGAGTTCAAACCCTAGCTCACCCACTTGGTAGGTGGGTGACTGAAGAAGTTCCTGGATGGTTGAGCTTCTGTTTCTTTCTCAGTGAAATGGTGACAATAATACCTATTGCAAGAGGCCATTTTTCTTTTTTTTCCCCTTCTTTTTTATTGATCACACAATGCTAAATTCAGAGTTGTCCCTTGTCAAGCTCAGTTTCAACTACATGATTACCTTAAATTATTACCAAGTACAAAATACAACTTCTTAGTCACATACTTAATATGTAACAGACATAATCAAAAGAAAAGCCTACCTTATTGTCAATCAGTAAATACATAATGAGCCCTTACTATTTACCCATGACTATACCCGGCATTAAATATATATTGAAGAAATGAAGAGGTGGTGGGTTGAGACCCTACCATCAGACCATGGTTCAAAGTCTGACTCCACCATTAGTTTAGTACCTTGGTGACCTTGGGTCATAACAACAGAAACGACAAAAGCTAACACGTGTTTGTTAAGCCAGGCTCTGTTGCATGTATTCATCTCATGTAATCTTCTCAATAATCCTATGGAAGTAGGTATCATTACTTTCCTTATTTTACAAATAAGAAATTGAAGCACAGAGAGAATAAACAACTTGCCCAAAGTCACTAGACTCTAAGCAGACAGCAGGAATCCACAGCACCAGCCCTGTGCTCCTAACTAGTAGACACTAGTCTATAATATGTGCATAATCAACTTCTGCAGGGCTGGTTTAAGGATCAGAAATATGTGGAAAGAGCCTAGGATAGTAGTTGGCATGCAGTAGGTGGACAAGAAAAGGCCCAAGGATACATGCTATACTGAAACACAAACTAACAATCAATCTATTCAGGTTCCTTAGCCTAACCTTCTTTCAAAGTTCTGGGATAGTTTATTTATTATTACCCAAGACTGGATCAAAGTTCAAGTTTATATTTCATACTATAGGAGGGTATGAAAAAGAAATTTAAGACTATACCAAACTACTGCTAACACTAAACTTCATCTCTACAGAAAACCGCTTATCTGTTTCCACTGCCTCTACCAAATACCATTATAGTCATTGCTGCTGTTGCTTGGAATCAAAAGGTTTGCAAAAGGCATTTAAAAGAAAAGAAAAAAGGGAAAGATTTTAATTTCATCACAAAGAGGTAGATTGGTTAGAATTATTCCTAACTCAAAACAAAATGAGAAAGTTTCCAGAGACTAACAATGATTTACTTTTTGAAACAATGCATCAGAATCACTTAAAATACATCAATTCCTATGGTTTTGAGTGCAATTATCTTTTTACTTCAGTACAGTTTTCTTTAAGTCTAGCTGAAGGGTTGAGTTCCTGGGAATCTACATAAACGCTTGGTAGTTTAGAATAATTGAATTTGGGGAACACGGTAATCTACTTTTTTAAGTCCTTCACTTTATAAAAGAGAAAAGTGAAGCCAGACAGGGTCAGTAATTTGATCCAAAGTCACAAAGTTTGTAGACCAGATTCCTTTCTTCCAGTAAAATGATCTCTTCACTAGCAGTGTTTCTATCCTAAATCAGTTGCATGGAGATGCACACTAGCTATAAAAACCTGGGCAAGCAAAACATATGAATACAAGCACAGAAAAGTCTATAATGGTGCATATATTGAAGAAAAATAAACGCTAATTGAGCAAAAGGTTATCTGTTCTGTTTTATTCACCGCCCTGCGATTTCGAAATGAAGTTCCTCCAAAGAAAGATAAACAGTAGCATTTTCTCCTTTACATCGCATTAAAGCACAATTACTTGAAGAAGAAAAAGCCCATTACAAATATAGGAAACTCCAAAAATCGGAGTCTGCAACTAGCTCCTCCACTGTTTACTGAAACACTTCCTTCGGTCCATGTTGCTAAAAACTTGAATCAAAACCCTGGATGTATTTATGCAAGCAAGAGAGAAAGCTAAAAACGTGAAGCTTTCCTCCCTAAATGTTGCCAAAGCTGCTACAAAAGATGACAAGTATTAAAGATGTGCATTTCCATTCATGTCCCTGCATGCCCACTGTTAAGAGGGCTTTTCATTTTTAATTACGTTCCCATCCCGAAAAGGAACATTAGTTTTTTATCTAACAAACTGTCTTTCGAGACTCCGCGTTAGGTATGTTTTATGTGTATGACAGATTTCCCAGGGTGCGATGGAAAGTAATTGTAACTCCTGCCCTCAATGTCACTTCTCTGCTGGTGTTTATCTGATAGAGCGCCCTCCTAGGGCCTCCACAAGACCGCTCAAAAACAGACTTGGAGAGGGATAGGCCAGCGGGACCCTACTTACCGAAAACACTGCATTCTGAAGCCCAAAAGGTATGGGGGTCAGTCTGGCCAGCGCCACCACTTTCAGGCCGCTTCCTCCCTCCACGACGCGAATAACGGCGCTCAGCTTGTCGCTGCTCTGGATCCTGGCGGCCACCCAGGCAGTGAGCAACCGCTTGCAGACCACATGGGCGATGAAGGTGCCGATGAGGACGCCCACCACCATCAGACCCATGCCCAGCACGAAGCCGTACAGGTAGCCAGCGGCCACGTTGAGCACGATGTAGCCCCAGCCGCAGGGGAAGGAGACCACGATGAAGCCCACGACGAAAAGCAGGACCCCTAGCAGCGAGTCAAGGCTCTCCACCCACAGCAGGAGGTGCTGAAGGTAGCGGCGGACCAGGGCCAGGGAAGCGAAGCACAGGGCGGCCAGCACGCAGACCAGCACGAGGCTCCGGCACCAACAGGTGCTGCTGAGGCAGCAGCAGCGCCAGTTTCTCACCTCGGCCACGCCGACCACCACGCCGCCGCCGCCGCTCCCGGGGCAGCCCGCCAAGGCCCCGCCCGGCTCCGGCAGCTCCGAAGCCGCTGGCGGACCGTGGCGCTCCAGATAGGCGCCGAGCAGGGCGCCCGAGGCCGCCGCCGCTGCCGCCGCCGCGCTCGCCCCGCCCCCTCGGGGAAGGCGGTCCGCCAGGCCGTCCCCGCCCGCACCCCGCGGCAGGGCCCAGCGGGCAGGCAGCTCTGCAAGGCCCGGGAGGGCCGCGTGCTGCAGCAGCCGGGGCAGCGCCTGGAGCAGGATCCCGCCCGGGCTCCGCATGCCACAGCCCGGCGCGGGCCCTCAGCCGACTAGCCCCTCCGCCGCGGCGCCTGTTAGGCAGCTGCCCTTCATGGCGCCCGGTTCGCCCGGCCTCGACTCCCTGCGTCCGCTCAGGGGGTGGGAGACAGCCCGCACAAGGGCGCCGAATCAGCGGAGGAGCGACGGCCGGGCGGAGTGAGGAAACTCCCGCCCCAGCGCCCACGGAGCCCACTCCGGCGGTGCCCGCCCCTTGTCGGCCAGAGGGGCGGGGCCGCGGGCGCTCGGGGCGGAGCGGGCTGTGTTCTGGCCCCGCCCCCGTGACGCCTGCCCGCCAGGCTGCAGGGGTCGCGGGGCGTCTGCGTGGGCCAGCGGAGGCCCAGGGCTGCTGAGAGCAACTGCTGGGAGGGCAGGAGCTCTGGGGAGGGCGGGGCGACTGGCAGGGGCGCGCTCCCCGACTTCCCACAGGCGCGCGCATGCCTGCGTGTCAGGGCGCGCGCTCCCCTTCTCGGACAGAGGCGACCCCAGTCCGTGAGCTGCTTGGATCCTCGCCCGTTCCCTCCTGGTCGTTTCCGCAGTAACCTCTTATCGGAGCGGGCAGCTGTGAGTGGCGCTCACATCCGCCGCTACCCTGTCGAATTGGGGAAAGCGTTCTTGTCCTGTTCTGAGGAGGGTTTAGCTATTGTCCTTGGCCCTATTCTCCCTGTCTCAGACTTACCTCCCAGCTAGCGAGGTCACCCTGTGGGTTTCATATGGCTTGGTCCTTTAGGAGCTGGAAAAATTAGGTATAAAGTCCCCCCACCCCCTTGACAGAACGCCCCTTTTGACTCCAGAGGTCCTTTATCGAGTGCCAGGCATTGGTCTAGGGGCTTTTGAAAGATTCACTGAAGGACATTTCTTAAGGGTTCGCTTTCTCAGAGGGCAGCTTCTCAAACTCATTCGCTGGTTTCTTTTCCTCTTTTTGCCTGTTTAAAGTTAGTGTTCCCCAGGTCCTCTTGCCTTCTTCCTTTTTAGAGTTCCCTGAGCCATCTCATCCAGGCCCACAGCTTTGATCCTGCCGTGCCCCCCATAAGCAGTGACCCCTAAGTCAATGTCTCTGCCCACACTTCCCAGCTTGTGGTCCGGCCTGTGGACACATCCAGACGGAATTCCTGCAGGCAGCTCAAACTCAGCAGAGCTTGGTAGATAGATGATCAACCTGGGCTCTGGTGCAAATCACGTTTAGTAACTGGTCAAACCGTCAGTCCCTGAATCTCATTGTTTCTTTTTAAATTGCAAAATGAAGATAATGGTACAATTTGCTTCGTAAGAGTGTTGTGAGGATTAAACAAAATAGTAAAGTAAGGTGATTAGCACTATGCCTGAAATTAGTCTTCAGTAAATGTTAACCATGTGATTGTATCCCTCATTAAAAGTGTGATCCCCCATAGACCGACTCTTCCTTCTGGGTTTGATATCTCAGTGGATGACCTTCCACCCAGTTGCCTGCCAAATAATGGCTCAGGACACCTTAGGTCCTTGCTGATCAGGCTCCTTCTTGCTCCTCCATGCCATTCCTTTCTATCCACCCTGGTTGGACTGAGTCAGAGTCCCTACTAGATGCCAGGCAAGTGCTGCATCCTTCAACTCCTTTTTCCAAGCCTTGTGACTCACACGGAGGAGCAGCTCTTACTGCTCCCACAGCATTTACCTAAAGTTTTACTTTGGTAAAACAGTATCAAGGAGGGGTGGTGCTAAACCATTCATGGGAACTCCACCTCCATGATCCAATCACCTCCCATCAGGCCTCTCCTCCAACAATGGGGATTACATACAGTTTGACATGAGATTTGGGCAGGGACACAAATCCAAACCATGTCAGTCCTACACTACCTTCCCATCACCATCACCATCACCCTCAATTTGGTCTTTCCTTTCCTTTCCCAGGCTACTTTCCATATGGCCATTATCACGTTTGTCCCATTGTATTGTAATTTTTTGTTTACATCACTGTCTCTCTCTTTAGGCTTTGAGTTTCTTCTGATGGGCCCTTTACTTATTAAATCTAAGGAGCACTGAGCCCTCTTTAAATGTTTATTGAATACACAAATGATTGCCGTTTGTAGGGGGAAAGTGAAGGCAGGAAAACCAGACAAAATTGCATAGGCAAGAAGCTGTCAGGATCCATGAAGTAGGATAATGGTCCTGGTGTTGGTTGAATGGGGATAAGTTTAAAGAGGAGCTGGGCAACTGATTTGTTTTCAGAAGAGAGGGAGGGGTCAAGGATAACACCTGGATTTCTTATTTGAAGTAATAGATAATGGGGCCATTGACCAAGAAAGCGACTACAAGTCTGTAGGAAAGATAGGGTTCACTCTTGATACATGAGACTTGAGGTGTCTCAAGTCTCATCCAAATGTGCTATTCCAGTAGGTGGTTGAAAATATAGATATGGAATTAAATGGGGCATCTCTCCTAGAAATTTTGACCTGGGTGTATAGGCAGCAATTAAGACCATGGTTATGAATCAGTGCATGGTGATAGGTGTGTCAAATATTTCCTGTCTGGTTTTTCTGCCTTCATTTCCCCCCTACAAACGGCAATCATTTGTGTATTCAACAAACATTTAAAGAGGGCTCATTGCTCCTTAGATTAAATAAGTAATGGGCCCATCTTGAAGAAACGCAGATATTTCCTGTTCTCTTTCAGGAATATAGCAGGATTGCATGCCCTGGCCTCCCTGTGATGGGGTTGAACTACATGACATGTTCTCCCAATTAATTGTGAACATAACATTTAATTGTTGATGCAAGACGTTCCAGAACTCTTTTTCTCTTTGCCATGGCAATCATCAGTGTTCCAGAGAGCATATGCACTATCAGTCTTGGTATTGGAGGGAAGATGATTCAGAACAGAGTCCCAGTCACATCATGAAGGACATGTAAACCTTGGTTGTTTTAAGCCACTGAGATTTGAGTTTTGTTACCAGCGCCAATCTTTGTCATCCTGGCTAATGTGCATAAGAAGAAGAGGTTTAAGGAGGAAAACTTGGGAACACCAATGTGCTTGTTAGACTCTTTTGCTTGTAAGAAAGAGAAACTCAGGAGACTACTTTAATTAAAAGAAGGAGCAGCCGGGCACGGTGGCTCAAGCCTGTAATCCCAGCACTTTGGGAGGCCAAGACAGGCGGATCACGTGGTCAGGAGATCGAGACCATCCTGGCTAACACGGTGAAACCCCGTCTCTACTAAAAAATACAAAAAAAACTAGCCGGGCGAGGTGGCGGGCGCCTGTAGTCCCAGCTACTTGGGAGGCTGAGGCAGGAGAATGGGGTAAACCCGGGAGGCAGAGCTTGCAATGAGCCGAGATTTGGCCACTGCACTCCAGCCTGGGTGACAGAGCGAGACTCTGTCTCAAAAAAAGAAAAAAAAAAAAAAGGAGCAAGTGTTTATACGGGTATATGAGTAGCTATTAGGAGCCCAGGCATAAGCTACTCTCTTATTTCTTTCTCATTATGTCTCTGCTTTTTGCTACCTCTTTAATCTATTCTCATAGTACCAACTGGCTGATTAATCCACTTCTTATCCTCTAGTCTGTATTTCAGAAGAATGTAAGCCAGTTCAGAGTTCTTAGCTGTAAGTCGCTTCATGGGCTGCTAGCCAACCTGAAAATGAGCTGCTCTTGGGTCAGGTGCTCATCCTTCTCTAAACAGTGTCACTCCTACCTGAAACATCATTCAGCTTTCCTGGGTATGGGACCTCTGGGAGGGCAGTGCAAGCTGTAGTGGGATATTTCTACTCTCATCCCACTACAATTTATTTTTCACAGAATTGTGAAAGGTTATATTTTACAGTTGGACATCAGATGTGTCTTAATCCACATCTACCAGCCCACCACAACCAGCCTAAAACCCTTATATTGCATTCAGGAAAGACCCAACTGCCTGCCTGGCCTACAAAGCCCTTTATGATCTAGCCTCTGCCTGACATTCCTACCTCACCTCCTGCCACCCTCCTTCTCACATGTTCCAGCCACCCAGGCCTCCTGTGTCTCCCTTGGATGAGTCAAGCTGGTTTCCTCCTCGGGACATTTGTGCTGTGCCCTTGCCAATCTTTCTTGTTTGAACACGCTGCCCTTGACTCTGAGAAAGCCTGGTCTCCTCCTTCTTGTTCATTTTAAGCTCTCCTGTCATCTCCTCAGAGATGACTTTCCTGATTACCCTCATCTAAAGGACTGCCCTCTCTACATCGGGTTACTGGTATCCCTTATTTTCTTCATAGCACTTATCATCACCTGAAATTGCCTTGTTTATTCCTTTCTGTCTGTCTTCCTTAAGCAGAATGAAATACCATGAAAGTACATATCATTCCTGTGTTGTGAACCCCTGTACTCTGATTCCCTAGAATAGTCCCTGTCACACTAAATATTTTTTAAGTGAAGGAAAGGGCAGTGGGCAGTGTGCTCAAGTGCTGGTTGTTCTCTGGTGTCCTCTACCCAGGTTCAGTGTCTACCCTTCCCTGGCTTGCTGTGTGTCTCAGGAGGTTGGCCTCTAGAGACGGTGTCACTCAGACTCCACTGGGCTCTGGATTTCCAGTTAGGCTTGACCAGTGAGAGGCACCAGCAGAATACTGGAGGATAGTACAAGTGAGAAGTGGTCAGGGCATTTATCACTTCCCAATTGATTTTCACTATGGTTTTGGCAGTGGTTCAATTTTGTGAACAAAGTTCTTATTTACCAAGTTTCCAACTCTTTCCCAGCTCTAGTTATGGTTTTCGGATGCTTTGTCATCCCTTTTAATACTTCCTTGATTAGACTCTATTTACAGTTGCTTTTGTTGCCTGCAGAGACTCTCACTGACACAGCAGGGGCAGGTCAGAGGCTGACAAGCGCAGTACAACCATCACTTGAGTTCATACAACTCACCCATAGCCACACAGAGAAAGTGGTAGAAGCAGATTTCAAATGTAAATTCAGGGAGTATGAGGAGATCTACAGAAACTGTTAGAAGTCCGAGGAAGAGAGAATGTTAAGACGTTAAGATGGAAAGATGGAATGTTAAGATGGCTTGTCAAGTGTGATTGGAGTCCCTTTTTCTTCTGGGTTTGGTGGCCTGCTGTTCTCTGATGCTCATTAAAATCTTTAATTAAAGGGTATTTTAGAGTCCTGGGCTCAAAATTAAAATTTGATTTATTTTGTAATAGGGCTCCAGAAGCCTTTAATTCTCTATTTTATTTTATTTCTAAAAGAAAAAGATTGGGCACTACTAAGATTGGACACTGCTGACCTAAGATAAAGACCCAAGATGAGAGAAGGACCATTGAGTGTCTCTTAGATATTTCTTTTAAAGGTAGCCACTAGGGCCTTAGGGAAAGTACTTTCAGGAATAGGCAAATTGCACCAGTTTGAGAGTGAATGGAAGGTAACTACAAAAGAGTGAGTTTAGATAGCACTTTTAATGATTTTGGATGCAAAGGAAGAAAAGGGTGATAGCTAGAAGGTAATACAGGGTGAGGAAGATGGGGACATTCTAACTGAAGGATTCCAGTGTGTTTATAGATTGAAGTAAAGAAGGCTGGAGAGAAGAGAGCATTTAAGTAAGAGAAGAGAGGAAATGTTATGAAGCCAGGTTGTAAAGGAGATGAAAGAGGATGTGGTTAAGATATTAGGGGAAGAATTAGATGCAGGGGAGAGACAGTGCTTCCTCTGAGATTCAAAGGAAAGATGTAGAGATGAATGCAAATTTTCCACTGCTTATTTCTAATTGTAACAGATTCTGTCATTTCAGGATTTATTTTAATGTAGTTGGGGAGCGGCAGGTAGTTTTTCTCTCCCTTTTAATAGCCTGGGGCTTCATTTCTGTGATTTTTCCTGATCAAAAATGAGAACCAATCTATCTCCTCAGCTCTTCAGGTGTCAATTATACAATAAGCAAATTTTTCCAGGCTGCCTGTTATAGACTTGCCACTATACTTCTGACTTAGATGTGGTACTTTGTTAGTATCTGTGAGGACTGAAAATGAGATAGAAGAGAAAAATCCAATCAAGCATCAAGTAATCACATTTAAATGGAAAATGGGAAGATACTATAAAAAATGAATTCAATGGTACATCACTCTCCAAACTCTAAATTTGCTATTTTATAATTATGAATTTCCATGTACTGTGCAACATTAGCTTCAGTTAAAGTGCACCCATAACGTTAAATGTGTTTTGATATGTGGTTGTTGAAGCTAACTGTTAAAATTAGTTTGCTGTGATTTATTGTTATTCATGCAAGTGGTTATCAGATACAACTGGAGTCCCCTTTTCTTCTGGGTTTGGTGGCCTGCTGTGTTTTTGCTTTTCTCTGGCTCCCATTAAAATCTTTAATTAAGGGAGATTTTAGAGTTCTGGGCTCAAAATTATAATTTGGTTTATTTTGTAATAGGGCTCCAGAAGGCTTGACTCATTTATTTTATTTTGTTTTTTATTTTTGAGACAGGGTCTTGCTCTCTCACCCTGGCTGGAATGCAGTGGCATGTGCATGACTCACTGCAGCCTCCACCTCCTGGCTTAAGTGATCCTCCCACCTCAGTCTCCTGAGTGGCTGGGACTATAGATGTATGCCACCCCGCCTGGCTAATTTTTGTATTTTTTATACAGATGGTGTTATGCCATGTTGCCCAAGCTTCTTTAGAACTCCTGGGCTCAAGCAATACACCTGCCTCGACCTCCCAAAGTGCTGAGTTTCCAGGTGTGAGCCACAGTGGCTAACCAGAAGCTTTGAATTCTTCATGAAACTCTGAAGCACATAAACACATAAGCCAGGTATCCCTCAGTGAATAACTCCTGCAGCAAAAGGAGGTGAAAGTATAAGTGCATTGCATCAAATGGTGGCTTCAGGAGAACAATGCTGTTCTTCAACAGGCTCTTCAGCTAGCAAGGCAAATAGTCTGTAGACCCTTTTTGGTGCATTTTACAGAAGACAAGTGCCTTTTTTTCTGACTTGCTTAAGATCTGTAATTTAAATAAATACATTTGAACCCTGTATGAAATTGCTCTTCACTGTTAGCAACTAATTCTTCCTGAATGAGGTGTATGCAGCTTATTTCTTCAAGAAGAGTATATTGAGGGTATATACTTTGCTAGACTCTTTTGAGAATATAAAGGTGAATTAAAGGCATTTCCTGCCTTCAGGGAGTACAATCCAATTGTGGAGAAAAGACCAATAACTCCATTACAAAGCCTGTGCGGTGCATGCATCAGAGTGGTGTTGAAAGGTTTAGGATGGCAAGGGAAAGCACAATGACCCCAGATGGGGTGGCCATTTCTAAATAGTGCTCCTAGTTCTATTCCTCAGATGTGTTAACTAGACACTTGAAACTGAAGGTGTCCTTGATACTCTGAGCTAATGGTGAAAATAAGCAATCTTGGACAACTATCCCATGCAAGGTTACAGCTGTAGTGGGAAATGCTGCAATCTCATCCGTCTTGATCTGCTAGCCTCATGTGCACACACTTGCCCATGCTTCACCAAGTATGCACTGCCCTGAGGAATCTCTCCAGTCTCCCTCTCACACTGCTCCTCACTACATATTTGACCCAAAGAAGTGAGTCTTGGTGAAGGCAACATATAAAGATTAGTAGAGAAAGGGGAAGCCCCAACTCATATTAGCTAAGTAATTGTTTAGCTAATTACCACTCCCAGCCAGAAAATGAAAAATTATAGGTTAACTTTGCAGATGTGACTTCCAGTTCAGAAGAGTCAGAATATTTGGTATTTCCAGTTTCCATTTGTCTCAATTTCATGGGAAATAGTATTTCAGAATTCCAAAAAGAAAACTGTTGTTCATTTATAACAGTGAATGGAAATGCCAAATCTTACTGTTATTATACTTATCATACCATACAGGTTGATATACACACAAAGTACTTCTCAGTCTAGCCACTACACTAATTAACACCATATAGGATATTAAGAAGAAAAACTAGTATAAACTATCCACTTTAAATTTTTGTTTAAAAATGTAAGAAAAAGCAAAATTCAGAATATTCTACTACCAATGGACCTTTGTTTACTAGTATAGAAAATATGATTAGGAACTTATATTGATTGCTTTCACAGAATAAATTCATTACTTTTTAGCCACACATACCCAGAATAATGTCTTTCAAGATTTATTAAATATGTATGGTTTTTTAACTCTTCTCATTAATCAAGACTTAAATAAAATCTATGATTGGAGAAAATTTTAAGAATTTGAACTTGAATCTGGATTTACATCAAGATTATTTGTTTCATTTATAAGATATGAGTTAGGGAGGAAAGATCTACTCTGTGGAACTCTAGGCTTAATGTGACTGACCTAATCTTTTTACAACCTTCTCTCCCAAACCTGTGCTCTCAGTTGAAGAGGAAGAAGAGGGGAAACTTCATCTTCAGTTGAAAAAAAGGAGTGAAAAACAAAGCACAGAAAGAGAGGGGCTTGCCTGCTAAGCCAGCAAATAAGCTTTTACTCAAAAATGTCTTGTTGGGCATCTACTGTGATCTCAGCATTTTAAAGGATACTTTGGAGGTGTGCCCTCAAGAATCCATCTTTCAGTGTGAGAAGGCCTAAACAACTGCACCACAAAGCGTTAATTACAGTGACAGCACTGTCAGAAGGAATAGCTAAATCTGCCTGGGAGTCAGAGAAGGTTTTGCAGCCATGATGATATTTGAGCTGCGTGTTGAAGGGTAAGTATACAGTTATTTATATCTTACTCATTTCAAAAGGATTTAAGCTGTCTCCGGGTTTTGAGCAGACAGTGGGAGAGTAGAATAGCCTTTCAGGCACAGAAAGTGCCAAAGCACAGAAGTGCGAAAAGGTGCAATGTGCTTGGGAAGTGGCAAGCTGTTCTGAGGACACATGCATAGAATGCACCTCTATGTACTCTGGGGGAAGCCAGGCAAATAATATCAACAAATATGCCATCCTCTAACAGTGGTTTGCAGACTTGAGCATGCATCAAAATTCCCAGGAGAGCTTTTCAAAGAACTGTTTACTGGGCCTCATTCCCAGAGTTTTTAATTCTGCTGGTGTGTGGCCTTGGAAAGCAAGAATTTGCATTTTTCACAAATTCCCAAGTGATACTGGTGCAGCTGGTCTTGGGACCATACTTTAAGAACCATTCAGGGAAGGAAACACTTGGTAGATTATGTCACATGTCCAAGAGACAGAGTAAATAGACTGCAACCCATTTATGGAAAGATGAAATAAACTTGAGAATGTCTAAAGCATAACAAGATTACTTGGAATGATGGCATATGGGGAATAAGAGAAAGGGAAGGAGTCCAGGATGTTAAAATTATGTTCCATAATATAAATGAAATACTATAGTGTTTACGAATTCAAAGAATCTTATTCCACCAACAAACCGTACTGTTGCAGGAAGTCAGGGACCCCAAACGGAGGGACTGGCTAAAGCCGTGGCAGAAGAACATAAATTGTGAAGATTTCATGGACGTTTATCAGTTCCCCAAATTAATACTTTTATAATTTCTTACACCTGTCTTTACTGTAATCTCTGAACATAAATTGTGAAGATTTCATGGACACGTATCACTTCCCCAGTGAATATCCTTGTGATTTCCTATGCCTGTCTTTAATCTCTTAATCCCATCATCTTCTTTGTAAGCTGAGGAGGATGAATGTCGCCTCAGGACCCTGTGATTGTATCAACTGCAGAAATTGTTTGTAGAGCATGTGTGTTTGAACAATGTGAAATCTGGGCATCTTAAAAAAGAACAGGATAACAGCGATGTTCAGGGAACAAGAGAGGTAACTTTGAACTGGCTGCCAGTGAGCCAGACAGAACAGAGCTATATTCCTCCTCTTTCATAAGCAAATTGGAGAAATATCGCTGAATTCTTTTTCTCAGCAAGGAACATCCCTGAGAAAGAGAATGCACCCTGAAGGTGGGCTTATAGACGGCCCCTTTTTAAGGCGTCCCGTCTTTTCTAGTCGAAGCCGAAGGGATGAAATAAGCTCCGGTCTCCTATAGTGCTCCCAGGCTTATCAGGTGGACAGAAATTCCCACCTAATAAATTTTGGTCAGACAAGTTATCTGCTCTCAAACTCTGTTTCCTGATAAGATGTTATCAATGACAATGCGTGCCCGAAACTTCATTAGCAATTTTAATTTCACCTCATCCGGTGGTCCTGTGATCTCGCCCTGCCTCCATTTGCTTTGTGATATTTTATTACCTTGTGAAGTATGTGATCTCTGTGACCCACACCCTATTCGTGCACTCCCTCCCCTTTTGAAAATCACTAATAAAACCTTGCTGGTTTTACGGCTCGGGGAACATCATGGATCCTGCCGACATGTGATGTCTCCCCTGGACACCCAGCTTTAAATTTCTCTCTCGTGCTCTTTCCCTTTATTTCTCAACCCAGTCGAGACACTTGGGAAATAGAAAAGAACCCATGTTAAACATTGGGAGCGGGTTCTCCCGATACCATACAAAGTTTTAGATCATTTTCTTGCCAGTGTCATGAGTTAGGTCTTTACAGCTAGATAAAGAGATGGCCCAGTCATGGTCATTCAGCAGTCATACCTCAAAAATGTGTAACATGAAGTCCACTCAGATAGGAGCAAACCTTCCTAAGGAATCTTCTAGGGGTGCTGAACCCACTTCCAGTGGTTGCAGTACTCATTGCACCCACTCTTAGTATCAGAACCTTGGCTGTAAGTCACTTGTGGTGTTTCAGCAAAAGAAACTTAACAGAGTAGACAGACAACCTACAAAATAGGAGAAAATATTTGCAAACTATGCATCTGACAAATGTCTAATATCCAGGATCTGTATGGAACTTAAACAAATTTTCGAGCAAAAAGTAAACAACACCATTAAATAATAAGCAATGGCCATGAACACTTCTCAAAAAAAGACATACATGTGGCCAAAAAGCATATGAAGAAATGTTCACTATTATTAATCACTAGAGAAATAGTAATCAAAACCACAATGGGATACCATCTCACATCAATTAGAATGGCCATTACTAAAAAGTCAAAAAGTAACGGATACTGGCAAGGTTGTGGAGAAAAGAGAGGGAGGAGTGTAAATTAGTTCAGCCATTGTAGAAATAAGTGTTGTGATTCCTCAGATAACTCAAAACAGAATTACCATTCAACCTAGCAATCTCATTATTGGGTATATATCCAAAGGAATATAAATTGTTCTGCCACAAAGACACATGCATGCATATATTCATTGCAGCACTATTCACAAATAGCAAAGACAGGAAATCAATCTGAATACCCATCAATGGTAGACTTGATAAATAAAATGTGGTATATGTGCACCATGAAATACTATATAGCCATGAAAAAGAATGAGATAATGTTCTTTGCAACCACATGGATGGAGCTGGAGGCCATTATCCTGAGGGAACTAACGCAGGAACAGAAAACCAAAATACCTTATGTTCTCACTTATAAGCGAGAGCTAAACAATAAGAACACATGGACGCAAAGAAGGGAAAGCAGACACCAGTACCTACTTAGGGTAGAGGGTTGCAGAAGGGAGAGGATCAGAAAAAATACCTATTGGGTACTATGCTTATTATCTGGGTGACTAAATAATCTGTACACCAAAGTTCCATGACACACAGTTTACCCATATGACAAATCTGCACATGTACCCTTGAACCTAAAATAAAAGTTAAAACAAAATTGTGGTGTTTCTAGCCTCAGTGTACTTCAGTAAGTGTAGGATCCCTGTCCCCTGACCTCCAGTACATAAGAGACTTCGTAACAACTATAAAAAATTGATAAATTGAGACTGGTAGAAGCCATAAAATGGAAAGATAAATATATTTGAGTAAGTTGATATCAATTATATTAAACACTTACATGAAAGCTTTGAAATTAACTTCCAGTTTCTCTGTCTAGCAACTATGGAGCCCTTAGCCAAGAATACTTAAGGAATAGTCTCTGTTCTGATCTCTCCTCCTTTGAATGTTTTTATTCTTCGGGTGCCTTGGTTCTGATGACACTCTTCTTGAATTATATGATGTTCTTGACTCTTGCAGGGCTGTTGAAATAATCAAATCTTTATTAAGTACAAATGCTTATTTATCTTTTTGCAGATTTTGAATTTTCGCATCAATATAATTTCTGCCAATAGTATATCCAAAGCGGTTGCTTTCCTTAATCCTCGTTGCTAAATATTTATAACTCATTAGCCTTTCTGTTTTTACAGCCCATGAACCCTCTGCATCTCTTGGATTGGACTACAGCCTTTGTGGTATGCCCTTGGTTAAGACTGCATAGGGGATGGAAGGAAAGTATGGAGTGGGTGGGAGTAAGATAGGTGTTACATTTTACTCCTTTTGACTGGCAGAATAACTTTCATATGGGGTTTAAACTGAAAAAAGACTGGTGCAGTGGGTCACGCCTGTAATCCCAGCACTTTGGGAGGCTGAGGTGGGTGGATCACTCGAGGTCAGGAGTTCGAGACCAGCCTGGCCAACATGGTGAAACCCAGTCTCTAGTAAAAATACAAAAAATAGCCAGGCGTAGTGGGGGGCCCCTGTAATCCAGCTACTCGGGAAGCTGAGGCAGGGAGAATAGATTGAACCCAGGAGGTGGAGTTTGCAGTGTGCCGAGATCATGCCTCTGTACTCCAGCCTGGGTGACAGAGTGAGACTCCATCTAAAAAAATAATAATAATAATAAATTGAAAAAAAAATTCTTCCCTTGGACAGAAATTTTACCCTTTCTTTATGGCAACATTTAACAGTCTTTGGCTGCAGCCTTTCAGGAATTTCTCTGATTCACCATTTTGTGCTCACAAATCATATGGGAAACAAAAACTTGCATAATACATTTCCACAGTATTGGGGTAAGAGGGGATTAATAAATTATACCTCCTCACCACTTAGGTTTTGAACTGTTGAGAGAGACATGGGTCAGTCAAATGAAGGTGAAAACTTTAACAATATTCCTGATAGAGCTGATGGAGAATGGACCGTAGAATGAGAGCCAAATAATAACTCTCTGCTGCCAGTAGGAACTTTGGAATAGCCCAGTAGCTGGAAGATTTGAGTGTAGAGCAGACAGACTAACCTAGGCCAATCACTGTGACCCATTTACCAGGTAATTAATTCAACCACCACAGAGAGCAAGAAGCCACGAGAAATACTTCCTCATGGAAAGCAAAGGATAAGTTATGTAAGATGTATATTTTATAAGGGAGTTTTAAAGACAGTAATTTAAAAAATGGCTAGGTACAGTGGCTCACACCTGTAATCCCAGAACTTTGGGCAGCCAAGGCAGGAGGATCACTTGAGACCAGGAGTTTGAGACCAGCCTGGACAGCAGAGTGAGACCCCATCTCTGCAAAATACGTTTTTAAAAAAGAAAATAACAATGACTAACACTAACTGTGTCTAACAATGACTTCTAAACTGTAGAAAAATAGTTTCTTCCCTCAAAGGTAATAAATGTCAAACACAATAAGGAATTTTAAAAATTCAAGAAAGTTAATATTTATTTTTCCATCTGTGAATGAAGATGATGATTAATTACATGCGTATCTTGTGTTGACTCCACTAAAAGCCTGTTTAATTTTTTAAAAGGTACCGTTAGGAGGGTTAAGGTTTTCTAACATTGTCACACACTAGTTCTTCTTCCATCTGTCCTCTAGTTTGCATAGTGGTAGAGTTAAAGCTGGATGCATGGCCACCCAGCTAGAAATACAATTGTTATTTTTACTTGCAACTAGAAGTAGCCACATGAATAAGTTCTCTCCAGCGGAATGGTAACATAAGAGTGATGTGTGCAACTCTAACTTCATTTATTTGTTTTTTGGGGTTTTTTGTGAGACACAGTCTCACTCTGTTGCCCAGACTGGAGTGCAGTGGCACAATCACAGCTCATTGCCTCCTCATCCTTCCAGGCTCAAGCAATTCTCCCACCTCAGCCTCCCAAATAGCTAGGACTACAGTGCATGCTACTATACCCAGTTATTTTTTTGTATGTTTTGTAGAGGCGGGTTTTTGCCATGTTTCCTAGGCTGGTCTTGAACACCCGGGCTCAAGTGATCCTCCCACTCGGCCTCCCAAAGTGCTGGGGTTATAGGCGTGAGCTGCTGTGCCCAGCCAAACTTTACTTGTTTAAAATGAGATGAGTTGTTGTTCCCCACTTTCATTCCCCCTCTGAGTTGAAATGCCAACATGGCAGAGACCCAAGGCACCAGGGACCCTTTGTGACCTAACAGAGCAGAGCCACTCTAACCGCTTAGCCTGGCCAGACTGTGAGATGAGAAATAAACTCCTACCTTATTTAGGCCACTATATGTTTAGTGTCTTTTTTTCTGTTTGTTTTCGTATCAGCTTAACATATTATTTAACACAAATATGTATGCCTCATTTAAAAGGTATTTTTAAAAATATTCAATAGAAAGATATCTGTACAATTAGCAACTGTGGTGGATTCGATAATAGACCCCAAATGATATGCCTACTCAGAACCTGTGAATGTGAATTTATTTGGAAGTATAGTCTTTGCAGATACAATGAAGGTAAGGATCGCCAGATGATATCATCTGGGATTAACCAGGTGAGCCCTAAATCCAATGGCACATGTCTTCGTAAGAGACAGAAAAGAAAAACAGAAGAGAAGAAAACCACATGAAGGCAGAGGCAGAGATGGAAGTGAGGCATCTGAAGCCTAGGGACACCTGGTATCTGCAGGAGCTGGAAAAGGCAAGGAAGGATTCTCCCCTAGAGCTTTTATAGAGAGCATAGCCCAGCTGACAATTTGGTTTTAGACTTCTGGCCTCCAAAGTGTGAGAAAATAAGTTTCTGTTGTTTTTAAGCCACATACATAGTTTGTGGTGATGTCTTATGGCAGCTCCAGGAAACTAGAACAGCTACCTAATAAAATTTGATCGTGAAGATGGAGAAACTGGACATGGAGAAATAAAAAGAATAATTTCTTGTATTGTTGTGAAATGCTGAGAGAAGCACAGAGCACTATTTACATTAGTTTTATATACTGGCTCATTCATTCATGACTTTTTTTTTAGATGATCTGAAATGCCTCAACTGCTGAAAGGTGCAGGGCATATAAAATGAACCACAGGTCATATATAAAATGAACCACAGGGAAGATCCACCTGCAGATCCTCCAATGGCAGGCACAAGTACCACTACTGAGGGAGCATCCAGTGGGTGGCCACCAAGTGCCCAAAGGTGTGCCTAGGCGTGGAGCTGAGAAACCTCTTTAGCCCCAAGTTCTCTGCATGGGAATGAGGATAGTGGGTACTCTAGGTTCCTGGAGATCTGCCTAGGTATGGGGTGGACAGGGCCCCTCTGCACCCAGATCTCTGCACAGGAAAGGTAGATCAGCTCATGTAGCTGAACTAGGTGAGCTGTTGTTCCAAATACTTGAAGATCTGCCTGGACGTGAAGCAGAGAGGGTCCCTCTGCACCCAGATCTTTGCCCAGGAAGGGCGGGGTGGCTCAGGTTGTCAATCCAGGTGAGCAGATGCTTTGAATGCCTGGAGATATGCTGTGCATGGAGTGGAGAGGGCCTGACTGCACCACAATCTATATATAGGCATAGTGGAGCAGCTCAGGCTGCTGATCCAGGTGAGGGGTGCTCTGAATACCTGGAGAGACCTGTTGTGTATGGAGCAGAGAGGGACCTGCTACACCATGTTTATGTCCCATGCTACACCATGTCCATGTCCATGAAGGGTCAGGCAGCTTAGGCTGCTGGTCCAGGCAGGTGGGTGCTCTGAGTGCCTGGATTTCTGCCTAGGAGTGGAATATAGAAGACCTTGCTGCACCATGATCACTGGGGAGCAGGCTGGGGCACCCAGCAAGGACACACGCAGACTGATTCCAGGTCACCAAGCTGGCCCTAGCTGCAAGTCTTGCCACCCAGGAGAAACTCTAGCTGTAGCAGCTCTCTCCTGCCCCACCTTTGTGATAGGAGAGAGCACAGTTCCAGTGCCTACTGCTGAGGCACTTCCCAAATTGTGGCTATGTAATTCCCTACCCCACTCCAGGGCAGGTGCTCCAATCTCTTGGCAGAGACTAAAATGCTTCCACAGCCAGGCTACCAGGTTGACAAAGAATGGCTGACTTTGTACGCATCTGGATTAAAAATGGCATCCTGCTTTAGGTCCTGGGTCTGGGAAAATGCCTGCAGCTTTTCCTGGTGTCTTTCCCTCACAGTGTCTCCAAGCCTTTCCCCAAGTTAATTCAGAGCTTGGGATAAACAAAGTGCTCTCCATTGGCCTGAGTTTCTTGGATCCCCAGTGGAAAGGTGAGTCACAGAGGAAGGCTTTCTGCCTCTTTCACATACTGGGGCTTCACTCACTTTTAGTAGCCAGATGCTATCACAGGAGCTGTTTGCCCACATTCTCCTCCCTGGGATCTGGGGTGTCTTTCACAATTCCAGTGTATTCCCATTTTTCTTCCTGAATTGAAGTTCACAGAATTGATCTTTAGGCACTATCTTGTTATTTCTAAGTTGCTGAGGCATGCTAAAAGCCTCTGATCTTGGAGGGCAAAAACTGCTTTCTAATTTCTATAATAAAATCTAATAGATATTTATGTTCGTTTATTTGCAATTTAAAGTGTCAACATTATCCTACAAATGTAAATAGGTGGAAGGAGATAGCTGTGGGGTCTCTAATGCCTGTCCTCCAGGGAAGACAGCTGGGTTTACAGTTGTCTTCCCCAGGATCAGTTAGAGAATCTGGAGAATCCCATTAATCCCTTTTAAGGAATCCTTATCTAGGTGGGGATACCTGTGTAGGGCAAAGGTAGTATTGAAGAGTCTTCTTGCATCTTACCAATGCATGACGCACATAAGTACCAAGGAGCCAGCGTTGTGCATATTTTACTTAATCCAAATTCATTGTAAATGAGAAATATTTAAAATGATATTTAGAAACTATTGTCCAATGGAAGAGAAAAATCAAATGGGATCACTGACATACTCAATTTTACCTTAAGTTAAAAAGAAAAGGTGATAAAATTATATTTTTGTTTAAGTACCTAGGTATCTACTATGATTTTAGAATGCCACATGGTGGTTATCAATTTATTAGACAGAGGCTTGAAATGTATTTGTATACATTTGCAGATGCATATAATTTTAATGAATTATCTTTTTGTCATGAAATTCTGTGTGTAGCTTATCTCAGCAGTATTGCTTTCTGGTAATATATTATTTGATAAATCTTTGGAAAAGTTAACATGAAATCCATTGTTGTTCTAGTCAAGCATCCAGAAAGCACTTTATTTTAAGCATGATTCAGGTGGTAGAAAGAATAAAATCAGTTTTGTGTTGGTGTTGCTGCTTTTTCACTCTGAAAAAGATTTTTGTTGTGTTAAAGCCATTTTGCTTCTCGAAGTGAATCTTCTTTTGTGTATTTACAGTAAGGTTTCTTATGGGCATTTTCAAATAAAATACATAAGTGGAGACATATTAAACCAGTAATTCTGCTTTCCAGGTGTTCAGTTTCAACTTCTAAACACAAAGAAAAATGTCAAATAGGACTTAGAATAAAGTTGCACTAGGTTTTTAAGACTTACAACATTCACTTATGGAACTACTCATATTTTAAGACAAATAGAAAAATGTAGGCCGGGCGCGGTGGCTCAAGCCTGTAATCCCAGCACTTTGGGAGGCCGAGACGGGCGGATCACGAGGTCGGGAGATCGAGACCATCCTGGCTAACACGGTGAAACCCCGTCTCTACTAAAAAAAAATACAAAAAACTAGCCGGGCGAGGTGGCGGGCGCCTGTAGTCCCAGCTACTCGGGAGGCTGAGGCAGGAGAATGGCGTGAACCCGGGAGGCAGAGCTTGCAGTGAGCTGAGATCCGGCCACTGCACTCCAGCCTGGGCGACAGAGCGAGACTCTGTCTCAAAAAAAAAAAAAAAAAAAGAAAAATGTTCCTCCTGGTGAAATGTTTGCTATTATATGATACATAGTTAAATCAATGAGAAATAAGGGCAAAAATAGACAAATACTAAACAAAAGCTTCGTTGTGCAAATATACTCAGAAAACCCTTGAAAAACATACCTCCTAGTTGTAAATATTACAGCTGAGTTTACACGAAATGTCTATTAAAGCCAGTAGGAGTCATGCATTCATACATTTCTGGCTAGTATAAGAGTGTTTAATAATCACTAAAGCCTTATATAAAGGTCTATATGATTCCTTGTCTTAATTATTTTAAGTAGCAGTTCCTGTTTCAATGTCCAACTTTTCTGCTGATTTAATGTTTTGAAACACCAATTTCTAAAAATAAGGGGATAATCACTATTTCACTTGTAAATTAGTAGGTATCACATTTGCTTTTGTAAACTTGATTTGCAATTGTTGTTTAAGCATTTACATATTAGCATAACAACACATAACCTCGTATTATGTTTTGCTAATGACTATGTAGACATTTTATCTGTGATAGGGCTAATGCCTGTCATGGATCAACCCACTAGTAACTTGTGCTTATTTAAATCTGGTTTTAGCCTAATGGTTTGCTTCTCTCACTTTGAGGGGCTGTTAAAGAGCAAAAATAATTTAGAAGTTAAAAATTTTGTATTACTTTTCGGAAATAGAAAAAAACATGTTATAAAGAATAAACTAAAGCAGTTTGAGCACAACAGATTTGATGAAGGCCATCTGCATTTGCTGCCTCCATAATCTGCCTTCCTTAACCTATTTATTTGCAGATGCTGTAGAAGAACCTCTTCTTGCAAGATCATTCATTCGTGCCTTGAGACAGTATGACTCAAGCTGACTTTTTTTTTTCCCAAGGAGTTTTTAAGTAAGTAAATGAATACACCAGTCAGGAGATGGAAGAGAAGTCCAGCCTGGAGATGCAAATATAGAAGGTACCAGTATTTTAGTAGTTGGTAAAACCAAGGCAGTGTATGAGATTATCTAGGAAAAAGATTATCTATCAGTTTTCTAAAGCCCATGCCTTTTTTGAATAAACAGAACACCTTTTTCCCCACCCCATCGTCATTGAGAATCTTAGCCTTAACATCCACCTAGTTCCAGCTTTGTTTTTGTGTTCTACATTATAAAACCAACATTTTTGGCTGCATTTTCAAATTACTATAACATTTAATATGCCTTTTCAGACTATATATATGATACCCCTGATGAATAAGAAGAGCAGCCAGCTGAGCATGGGAACAGGGTGGCTAAGAGCAGCAAACCATATAGCTACCATATAAGTCTTTGGGACTCAGTATATAAAAGCCAGAATTTACACAATACTCTTGCTAAAAACAGATAATATCTATTTTTGAGAATGTGTGCAAAAGGAAATTTTTATGTTAGCACTTGCTTTTGGAAAGTCTAGCATGGTATATTACAGCAATTAGTAGTTCTATTCATTGCAAAATTTCAACCACATAGCTGCGAAGTAACTCAGGGTAGATATATTTTGTTACCAGCGTTCAAACCATTCTCTTCTCTCTTAATATTTAATAGTTCTCTAATTCTAAATTTAGCAAGTCAAATGGAACAGCTCATGAACAGTGTAGGTAGTAGTATGGGTATCCTTTGTTCATTGTGGGCAGTGTTGGGTTCACTGTCAAGATTTTGTTGAAATCCATGGACTGGTTTGTAAATATATAATTGCTCTGTATATTATGCTGTTTACAGTGAATGTCAAGTCCTTTACTGACACCAATATCAGTAAAATATATTCTGCAAACAAAAACAGTATTTTTTACTTTTAAATCAATAGTTCATGTGTACATTGTTTAGAAATTTCAGGGAGATTGGGTTACTATTTAATATGTTTTATCAGAGTACTAAGAGTATCTCGAAACTTGTCTTAACTAAGTCTCCTCCCCAATACTTCTGAGAGGTGTATTCTCACAAAGCAAATGATTCAAAGGAGAAAATAACCAAGCAACAACATAATAAATAAATAAATAAATAAAAATAAAAACTTTATTAGTTAGGAATTTAGCTTCAAGCCACTCTACAAAGCTCTAGTAAGCTTGGCTGAGTACATGAAAGGCTTCTTTTTCCTGGCTCATTAGGCCTGAACAGCCTCAAGCAAAGGCAGGCTCTTAGGATGCTCTCTCTTCACTTTGTTTTTCTTTTCTTAGATTCCAGTGGGCACTAATGGAAACGGAGAGAAAGACAAACAAGAGGTCCCTGCTAGCTCCCTGTGTACTGCAGAAGTGGTGTAGGCTGTGCTCCGAACTTAGAGAGAAGGAAAAGAGGACAACCCCTCTATCCCCAGATTCCCTCCCAGCCCTGTTCTGCCAGTCAGCTGATTGGAAACAAGAGAGAAGGGAGGCCTGTGGTGACCTCTTGACACCAGGGGAAAACCTGACCCTAGAAAAATCAGCTCCATCAATATCATGTGATCTTACCAAGGCAAGTGACCCTACTCCCTAAACTGGTGGAAAGGGTGTGAATGTCAACTAGAGTTCTATACTTTAAAAACAACCAAAATATTGCAAATTTTGAGTATCTTTCCTAAAGAAAGCAACATATTGTAATCTTGTTTTCTGTTAGATAAATCTCTGTTAAAAAGAAGCTTTGTTGAGACTCTCAAGTCTCTAAAAAATAACTCAGCCATCTTTTGATTCCTTGGGGACCCATGAAAAAGTCTGAGCACACACGCATTCTTTACAATGAGTCTCTGGCACGAAACCAGAGCCCTAGTGAGTGAGGCTGAGTCATGGCATTCCGCAAAGCCTCCTTTTGTGCCACTGGCCTAAAGCCTAGATGAAAAGAAAGCAAAGAGGCTCCTTTGACTCCACTGCCCTAGGCCTACGCCCTAATTGTTGCTTTCAGAGTCTTGTAACTTCAGCAGTAAGAAGGGGGAAAGTCAACTTTAAGAAAAAAAGTGCCAAGGGTAAAAGATCAGTTCTCCTTCATAACGTTGAACTGATCTTACCTGTGTTACCCAGTTGTGAGCCATTGGTGTGCATGTTTGAGTGAGTGTGTGTGTTGGGGGGAAAGGGAGCATTTGAATATGAAAACTATGTGAAAAGGCACACTCTATAAGAGGCAAAGAACAGCAAATCCCACAGAATGCTAAAGGTGCCAAAGGTAGAGCTTGTCTGCAAATCTCTTGGAAACCTTCAGTCAACAGGTGACTGGGTCAGCTTCTAAATTGTATCTTCCCTTGGCTCTCTGGCCTTCTCCCACTGAGATAATCATCATGTTGTATTATTCTTCAACAGCCATCATTTTCCTAGACTGGAAGCTCCCCGAGAGCCAAGATATGTCTGTCTTGTTCTCCAGCACTTACTAGGCACTCAATAGATTTTGTTTTTCCTGTTGAATGGCATTTAATCTACACTTGACTATAACCTTTATTCAGAACACTATTGGGGAAGGTATTTAGGGGAGGGCTTCTTCATGTCTCCTAAAGCATACAGTCTTTAACCAAGATTAACTCTGGAAGTATTATAATTTAAATAACTGATTAAGTTAGGAAAACTAAACTCATACGCACACACACAGACACAATTTTAATTTGTTAGCCACTCAGACTAGGTTGTGTGTGTCTATAGCCCCATCAACCATCCTCTTTTTGTATGCTCACTTGTAATTTCATTATGAAAATTTTTGTTTCAGCTAGGTTGTAAACCACAGGAGTACAGTAGACTGTGTCTTTTTTGTTTACTGCTGGATTCCTTGGGCCTAACACCTGGCCTAGCATATATTAGATATTCAATAGGTATTCACCGAATAAATGAATGAAATACTCAGCAATCCCTTTTTACAGACAAATCAGTAATCTCTTTTTGTCAGTTGCTCATTTGATCACTTCCAGGTTTTCATTAAAAGACCATTAAAGGTCTAATGTGTATGCTAACTATTGAAGTTACGGCAGCTATTCATGATCAGTTATGTCTATGCTTCAATAACTCTTATATTTCATTAGAAAGACAAGGAAAAATAAATTGTTACATTACTATATCAGAAATTAATTTTACAAGATATCTGAAACTCAACTCTGAAATACATCTAATTTTTTGACATTATAAAATGGTGCATACATCTCTATATACAATATATGATACATCTATATAAATCTGGACAGTATAATACAGTTTTTACTGCATCAAAACTTTTCAATAAAGTTACATATAAGTAAAAGTTTAAACTATAGGCCAAATTTATTTTTGTATTTACACATGGTCACAAATAACTCTTGGTGCACAATGGTATTTCTATTCTAGACAATCCCCACAGTTCCACTTATGTAAGGTACCTTGCAAAAAAGATCTTTTCAGTATTTAATCTAAATACAGATATCAAAACTGATTCTTCATTTTTTGAATTACTGAATTTTCAACAGATGATACCTTATGTTTAATCAAAAGAGATAAATAGGACTGGAAAAGTCAATTATAAAAGTAGTTGCTGCTTGCTAGTCTTACACAAATTTTTATATTCCTTTAAAGTGGAAACTTGAGATAGCAGAAGATAGTGATAAATTCTTACTTACAATGTGTGTGCTTTTTAAAAAAAAAAAAATTTATGTATCATTTTTATGGTAGATGCCTTTTAATTAACATTGTCAAATTTTAAGGCACTCAGTATTAAAAGGAATCCAGAAAGATGTTCATTCTGAGAAAAAAAAATGGTAATTTAAATACAGTATTTCTATTGAATCCTGGAAAGTTCAACTTTGCTCAATTCATAAACATTTAAACATGATTTATTTCCATAATAGGAACAGCTATGCGGAGGAGGAATGACAAGTAGAAGAGGGGAAAAGGGAAAATATAAACAAAAATAAATAGTACATTTCACACAGAAGCAGAGGAACAGAAAGTGAAATCTGAGATGTGAGTAAAGTACTCTTGTTACACCATGTTAACCACTTAGGCTGTAACATTCAGCATGTGACGCAATTTCCTGAGACTTTTGAAGTGGTAATACTAAGTATATGATTAAGTATAGTATTCTTAACCTTGACCCCGGAAGCTCCAGGAGCTTTCATTCATTATTTATTCATGGAGCTCAGACTATACTACTCTGGAGGTACAGAGATGACTATTTGCCTTTGAGGGATATACAACCAATTAGAGAAGACAGACAAATAATCAGAGGATGCTAATATAGTTTCATATGTACTATAATACTGGAAATGCTATTTTCTGTGGCAAAACATGCTAAGAAAAGAGTCCAAAAACTCTTTCTCAGGATTTCATGTGTCAGATGTTAAAGTGGCATTGTACAGCTATATTTTTTAAACTGGCATTAGTTGCACTTAAAATAAGCATTTCATAGCAATAATATTCAATATTATTTTATAGTTCCCTATATAATAAGTGAATACTATTTTAATCATATATTATTTCGAGTCAGTGTGCAACTTTTTCCCACAGTTAATATGGGACCATCTAATTTCATAATTGATATATTAGAGCAAATTCAGCAGAGTGGGAAGGAATGAATTTGACATTTAATTCCTTGCTTCAGAATATAGTAAAATGGTAACACCTTTGAAGTGGCCCCCAACTTTTTCTGAGTTTGGGGTTCTGTGAATATATTTGGTTCTGTGAGAGTTGCAACAGTGTTGCTGGAGGGAACTATAGCACTAAATACCATTTTGACACCTTTGTTTATATGGGTGATCATAGTGACAGCTTTTGATATAAAATCAGGAAAAACTCTGGATACTTCAAAGGAATCACTCCACCATTTAAATTAGTATTTCCACTGAGCAAGGATTCTATGCAAAGGTTACTCCAAGTAGTGTCATGAGGAGGATGCAATAAAGAGAGGTCCTATTGGCTGATTTGTTTCATTAAGTATACATTAGGATTACCCACTCAAAAACACTAATCACAGTTTGGGCAAACATCCTCTCCCTCCTCTGAAGAAGTTTAAGACTGAACTGAAAGGTAATTCTACCAGAACTCTGAAGACAGTGTTGTCTAAAATATTCCCAGTGAAAATAAATTAGTGGAGAAAAATCTTAAAGAGAGGGCAAAATGTACGCAGCAGAAATTACCGAGAGCAGAGATACATTAGAAGGAACAGAGATACAGCAGGAAGGGTTGGTGAAGGGATTAGCTTGAGACCAAAAGAAACTGAAAGGTGAAGAACTGGGGATTTTAGAAATGCACTGATAACCAGTTTGGCTTGATTTCAGTCACATATTTGATTTCTTCATTCTTACTCTTAGGAGTATGCCTAAGAACATGCTGCACTGTCTCTGCTCCTTCACCCAAACCATCTCAAGAGAGGTGGAACCAATGATATATGTAGTAAATTTGATTAGAATAAGAGTATCCTTGGCTGAGCTTCAGCCATCGTTCCTTTTAGGAGCATTATTTCCTGCAGAGAGCAAATGTTCTATTGCTCCTCCAAGGACAAGCTCTTTCTCCCATATAAGAAGACTTGTTTGGGTCCAATGCTGCCCTGAACTTGGTTAAATCTTCTGTATTCTGAGATTTGGCATTATCAAATTCCTGTGGCTAACAGACATAAAGCTATATTCTCCAACCTGGTCTCTATTATTAATAAAAATGTTATGCTAGTTTCTGTCTGTTATTCTTTTGTTTCTCAATGAGATCAGTATTGGATGGGAGAAAGGACTGTTATCTCTCGTGCCAATTAATTATTTACTCATCAAGTATAGCATTCATTACATGAGTGTGGCAGACTGCTAGTAGGCCCCCCAAATCTGCCTTTCCATTCTTAATAATACAAGGATATCCAGCTAGAGACCGTATTTCCAGTTCCCCTTGCACAAAATGTGACCATAGAGCTTAGTATCACCATGGAAAATGATCAGAAGCAATGAGTGCAACTTCTACCTCACTTGCTTCAAAGGAAGTTACTTCCTCTTGTCTTCCTGTGAACTAGACCTTAGGAATGGCTTCAAGTTAATTTGACTATTCAGAGGAGGACTGAGTCCCAGGAGTTAGTAGAACAGCATTGTGGAGGGAATCTGAGTTGCTGAATGTCCTTAGAGAGTAGACTTGGCCCACTATGCTTCCCTGCACTGTTACATATAAGTGAAATAAACATTTGTCTCATTTCCATTGTGTAGTTGGGGCTCTTTCTTAAAGAAGCTTAGTGTTTACCCTAAAAGCCAGGATCAAGTTGATTTGGCCTTAAATAATCACTATTATAAGATGTAGAGAGGTAGATTGAATTTATCATATGAATGTCGTTAGCTACAAATTAGCCCTATGGTGTATAGCTACTATTACTTCTTAGAGAAATGAGTGGCATAATTTTAATATAAATAATATAACAACCATTAGTACATTATTAATACATCCCAAGAATGGGACAAGAAGCTCCTTGGTTATGCTTGTATCTGTAAGAAAGGTAGCTTAAGTAAACATAGGCTTGCTCTAATTCTTTTGAACCAGTTAATTTTCAGTTACATCAAGAAAGTTTAATTGATAAAATCCTTCAGGGCTTTCAGGTAGAGAGGACAGCAAGCATAAAGGTTCTAAGCCAGGAATGAACTTGGCATGTGTGAGAGTCAAAAAGAGCAGTGTACCTGGTACATGATGGATAAAGAAGAGTTGTAAGGAATGAATTTAGGCAGATTGGCAGGGACCAGATCGGACAAGTCCTTGAAAACCAGGATAAGAAATTTGGATTTTATTCTAGGCATGATGGGAAGCCATTGGAAAATTTTAAGCAACTAGATGGCATTAGCAGGTCTCTTCTTTTTTTTGTTGTTTTTTTGTTTTTTTTTTTAAAAAAGCACCCTATCAAAAATGGACACATACACACACACAAAAGGCAGGAAAACTGGTTAGTGTAGTAACTTAGGCAACAGAAGACGGTGACTTGGGTAATGGTTCAGCCCTTTGGGAACACTAAACAATAATATATCAAAGATTTTATTTCATCTGGCACTCATTAGGCAGAACATTCCTTCACTCCCAAGCTCCAGTACTGCTCCTGGCTGCTTCTTCCAACATGCCTTTGTTGTCAAAGAGTGAATGTCTTGGCTCAGCTCAGCAACCCCAAACAGAGGCCTGGAGTGCAGCTGCTTGCTTATGGAAATATGGTCCACAAAATGGATGTCTAGATTGCAGTTAATCAAATCAAACACCAGCTAGCACTTTTTGTTTGGTGCTTCCAAAGCAAGTTGCTGCCAAGTCCAGTCATCATTCTAAACCATTTTTAAAAGAGGCTTCTGCAGCTGCCTGGCTCTGGTGAGGCTTCTAATGGTAAGGCTATAGACAGATCACAGATTCTGATATTATTTCATCCAATGTGCTGAAAAAAGAAGAAAATAACAAAATTGGCAAGTGATAGGTGTAGAAATGAGGTACCAGGAAATTGAAGCAGATCATGATCCAAAGAGTATACTTAGAATGGACAGTAGATGCTTGTGTTTTCCTTGAAAATGTAGTCTGTCTGGAAGGTGAGACATATCAAAGTTGGGACTTTCAGGTAATAGGTGGATTCAAACATTTTCTGATTAACAATTGATTGAGTTTATCTAAGACTTGGAATCATTAGAAGACAGTGTCTGGGTTAAATAAGGGGTTATGGAGACCAAGGTTTTTGTTATGCAGATGAAGCCTCCAGGTAGCAGGCTTCAGAGAGAATAAATTGTAAATATTTCTTTTCTTTTTTTTTTTTTTTTTTTTTGAGAGGGAGTCTCGCTCTGTCGCCCAGGCTGGAGTGCGGTGGCGCGATCTCTGCTCACTGCAAGCTCCGCCTCCCGGGTTCACGCCATTCTCCCGCCTCAGCCTCCCGAGTAGCTGGGACTACAGGCGCCCGCCACCTCGCCCGGCTAGTTTTTTGTATTTTTTAGTAGAGACGGGGTTTCACCGGGTTAGCCAGGATGGTCTCGATTTCCTGACCTCGTGATCCGCCCGTCTCGGCCTCCCAAAGTGCTGGGATTATAGGCTTGAGCCACCGCGCCCGGCCGATAAGGTACTAGACTTTTAGTTAATTCTCTCCTGGACAGGAAAAAGACCTGGAGAGAGAACGGGATTCTCTAGAGAATGTAGATTTTTTCCACAACAGACAGCTTTGCAAGACCATTTCAAAATATCTCAAAGAAATATATTTTGTGGTAAAATACTTTGATTTCTTTCAGGGCCTGCTGTCTGTCATACTGGTATTTTATTGTTACAAATAGCCTGTTTTGTCAGTCTTAATGTTGCTGTTTCAATGTTAATCCTGGTCAGCTGTGCCTGAATTCCAACGAAAGGAAGATATAATGAGACATGTCCAACCATCTATACTCATTGTGGCCTGAAATAGAGTTTCAGGTTTACTTTCGATTATGGACTGAGAGGAGAGATCCATTCAATTTGTTGCAGGGCTTAGAATTTTATTTTTGCTTTACAAAGGTACAGAGATTTCCCATATACTCCCATCCTTAAATGTGCATAGCCTGTTCATTATCAATATCCCACACCAGACTGGTACATTTGTTACCATCAATGAACATACATTGACACATCATCATAACCCAAACTTCACAGTCTAGGTTAGGGTTCATTCTTGGGTTTGCACAAATATATAATATCATGTATCTATCACTATAATATGATTTTCACTGCCCTAAAAAGCCTCTGTGCTCTGCTTGTTCCTCTATCCCTTCCCCCAGCATCTGGCAACCACTGATCTTTTTTCTGTCTTCATAGTTTTGTTGGAATCTTACCATAGCCTTTCCAGATTGGCTTATTTCACTTAGTGACATGCATTTAAGTTTCCTCCATGTCTTTTCATGAGTTGATAACTCATTTCTTTTTAGTGCTGAATAATATTCCATTGTCTGGATGTACCACAGTTTATTTATTCATTACTTTACTGAAGAACATATTGCTAGGTTATATGGTAAGAGTAATTG